CGGCCGGAGCAAGGAGACCCCGCCTGGCCGAGGAGGGCAGAGGGGGCTCCGCGTAGATGGGGCTGGCGCTGGCTTTTTAACTTATTAAACGGTGCCCGAGGGAGACACTCTTCACGCTCCTGTTATTTAAATTACAAATACTGGTGAGCGAGAGATTACAGCTCCTCTCTAAACACTGCTGAAGTCTTTGGAACCCTTCTGGAACCGTTCCGGGCCTGGGGAGCCTTGAAGGGTGTGCTTGGTGGGTGGGGAGTGGGGGCCGTGGGACCTTGCGCAGAGCTTTGAGCCACATTCGGGAGTCAGCCTCACGGGGGGGCCTGGCCGGGCATTGGGGCAGCTGGTGCCCACAGGTGCCACCTGCTCGGGGTAGTTCCCCGGGCGTGGGTGCAGGGTGGCTCTCACAGCATTGAGTGTCCCGTGGGCCAAGTGCTGCTGGATGAGGGGTCCACGGTCCTGGGGACCCCAGCATCCACCCGCGCTGTGTGCGCGTGCCCCTCCCCCGGCCGTGTCCTCTCTGGGAACCTGTGGTGGGGGTACTGATAAGCAGATTTTTGAATTTGCAGAACCTGGCACACTGCCCTCTCCTTCTGGAAAAAAAAAAAAAAGCAAGAGCGCTTCCAGGCAAACATTTGTTAGTGCAGTTAAAACCAGCTTTGTGGCTGCTGCTGTCCAGGCTTGCGGTCGGTCGGGTGGAGCTACCCCAGGGCCTGCTGGGCACAGCTGGAGGGGCGCCTCCTCCGGGCAGCCCTCCTGCTCCCCACCGGGCCTCCTGAGCAGTGTGGGGGGCGGGGCAGGCAGGGACTCCCAGCCCGGACTCAGGCGGGGCTCCCTTCCACCACCTGCACGGGCTGAGGAGTCTTCAGCCAGGGCCCTACTGGGCTTTGGGTGCCCCAGGTGGGGTCTGTGACCTGGGCAGGCTCTCCCTTTAGGTCTTGTGATTTGATGGTGGGGAGCTTGGGGCCAGCACAGCAAGGAGGGTAGCGGTCGGGTGCTCAAGCCCAGCGGCTCTTGGCTCCCAGGCCTCCGTAGGGCCGGCCGTCGGTGCCTCACTGTCCACCTTCTCACCCCTTGGAGGAGAGGCAGACCAAGGAGCCCATGCAGTCATGGGTTGCCTGGGGCCTCTGAGGGGGCAGTGGCAGCCGAGACCCCAGCCTGCAGCCCCTGCCCCTCCTGCCCCTGTCCTGGTGGGGGCCCGCGAGGCCATTAGTGGTGAGGCCTGGATGGCCGGGCTCCACTCAGGGCTTCGCAAGAGTCCGTGCAAACCTCAGGGCCTAGCCCTGTGCCCGCCCAGCTCCTGGGGGACCAACACAGGCCCCGCCCACAACAAGGTCAGCCTGAGCCCTGCTTATCTTTGCGACCCTGGCCAGGCCTTGCGGTTGTGACCTCACCGGCTCTGGACAGTGAAGTGTTCACTGCAATTCCTGGGCCCAGCCTGCTCTTCTGCCCCGCTGGCTTGGGGAGCCCTGGGGTGATGCCACCTTGAACCCTGAGTGTCTGCTGAGCTACAGGTTCTCTTCCTCCCCAGGAGCAGGGCTTGGGCTCCTGGAGAGGGCCGGGGGCTCCCCTTCTCTGTGCAGTGTTTCTGGTACAGCCCCCCCCCCCTGCAACGTGCTGCCTGTGCTTTTGCCGAGGTCCAGGCCCTCTTACTAGATTGGTAAAATTAAATCCCGCACAATGATTTTATTTAATTTAATCTATCTCGCCTTCCTCTCCCTTGTTGGTAGCATTCCTATAGAAGCGAAAGGAGCATCCCTGCAGTCCACGCCCGGCGTGGGGAGCGGGATGGCTCTGGGGGCCGGTGGATGGCTGTCCGGAAGCCTCATGCAGCCAGGCCTGGGCATCCGTGTGCTTGTTCGAACCCTGCCTGGAGACTGAGCTCTGCAGGGCGTTCCTGCCGTGGGCCTGCACTGACCCTGCGTGCAGAGGGTGCAGGGGTGTAGGGGTGCAGGCCCCCCTCCAGCCCGGCCCTGTCACACTGCTCTTAGCCACCGGAGCTCCAGACCCCAGCTTGCCCCAGGAATCATATGCAGACCCCACCCTCCTGCCACCCAGCTGTTCGTCTGTGTGTATGTGTGTGGGGTGGTGAGGGAACCCTAAAGCTGGCACCGCAGTGGGATCCTTACTTGGGATTTGGGTTGTTGTTGTGGGTTTCCCAAAGTGGGTTCCATTCTGAAGGGCATTAGGAGGGGGAGTTTCCCTGGTGCAGAGGCTTTGAAGATGGCTGGGATGAAGTTAGAGGTCTCAGCTTGCTTCAGAAACCTCCTGAGCCGCGAGTCTCACCGTGGAGGGGAAGCAGAGCATGTGGCCTCCTTGGAAACTGAGGAGGGAAACGGAGTCTCAGGGGCGCGATGGTTGCAGGTGGTACATGGCCGAATGCCACTGTGCAGGGGGCAGCGAGGGGCCCCCGCAGACCCCGCCGGCCGCAGCACCAGGCCTGGCCCCTGGTGTCCCGCTTTCCCGGCCTGGGCAGCGCCAGCCAAGTCTGCTTGGTTCTTTTCTCCTAAAGTTCAGCTTTGTTCCTGCCCCACCAAGGCTTCTAAGAAAGCAACCTAAAACCAGCTCTTGTCCGGTCCTCAGTGGCCAGGCGCACACAGCGTCCTTGCCAGCACAGGTGGCTTGGGGACAGCGCTGCAGAAGAGCCGGTTGTCCTGGGTCCCCGGGGAGTGGGCAGCCTCGTCACGTCCTGGGGACAATGGCTCGTTCTCTGGGGAAGCCAGGCGCAGGTCCCTGAGGTGCGCACGCAGACCTGCCTGTCGGGTCATAGTGGGTCACCACCAGCACTACCCCGCGCTTGTCTGTGCTCAGCGCCTGTCCCGGGCCCACCCTGACCCCAGCTCTCGGCCTGCATGCAAGGCTGCAGGAGCCTCGCACACCCTCTCTAGCTGACCTGGCCACTGGTTGGCCTAGCCCTGGGCCGCTGCCACCCTCTGGGGCCAGGACACAGCACCCTTTGCTGGCCTTTGCCCTGTGTGCACGGAGTGGGTCCCTTGTACACAGAGGAGCCCCCATTTGGCTCAGGGGGCCTCATGTCATGGCCTTGGCCTGAGGCTGCCCTACCAGTAGCTCCTGGGAAGCCCTGCTGGCAGGAACGTGGTCTGCAGACTTTGGGGGTCCCCGTCCCTGTGCAGTGTCACTGGGCAGCATGTGGCCTCAGCATGTGGCCAAGCTCCCCAGCCGTCCCCAGCAGTGAGTTAGTTGGCCACCTGCGCTGGAGAGCCCTGGCCCTGGTGGCCGAGCAGAGACCCAGGGTGAAGGGTCTGTCCAGGGAGGCTGTGGCCGACTGAACCTCAAGTCCCCACCCCAGCAGGCTGAACGTGGTGACCCCCACACACACCTGGTCCCTGGGCCCCTGAGTCACCCGAGAGTGTCCGGCCTATGAAGGTGGAGAAGGCATGGAGGGCCTCCGTGCTGGGCCACGGGCTGTATGTCTAGTTGCGCACGCCGTGGGCTTCTGTCTGGGAGCTGAGATGGCTGAGTGTGAGTGGGGCACTGGGCGGCTCAGCGGGGACGCTGGGAGTGAGGGGCTGGGTGGAGTCACCTCCCCGCCAGGCCTTGAGCTCTCTGCTGTGAGGTGTCCAGGGTGGCAGGTGTCAGGCTGGAGTGTGTTCCTTCTGGGGGCCACATCTGGTGGTGGCAGACAGGGAAACCGAGGCAAGGCCCTGCAGTAGCTCACCCAGGGCCCACACAGCCCACGCCGTGTGACCCCGAACTGCTAGCCGTCCCATCCCCAAAGAAGGCTCTATGGTGGGGTGGGGTGACGCTGGGGGCCCTGGGCACTGCAAGATTTCATCACAGAGCGAGTGGAGGGTCTGCCGGCAAAGAGACGGTCCAAGCCAGGTGTCCCTGGGGACACGGGGGACAGCAGGTGTCCACCCTCCATGGGGGACCAGAGCGGTGCGGCCAAGTTGCTCTTTTCCTCAAGAGCCAGGTGGGGATGGGGGCTCCGAGGTGGGACCTGGTGACCTGGTGCCTGGCACCGTGACTGAGATGGGCAGGGCACAGGCTGTGCCCCTTCCCATGCCTTCCGACCTCCCTGACTGCGGCCACTCCCCGTTCTCACCCAGCTGCGCCCCCTCCGTCCGGGCTCCGCCGGCCCCCTTGCCCTGCCTCCCGCAGCCCTGGAAGAGTTGAGGCGGCCGTCGCTGCCAGCCCTGCAGACTGTTTGGAATAGTTTAAATGCTTTGACACCGGGCTGCACTGGGTGGCGGGGAGGCAGTTTACTGGGTAATTCATATGCAAAACTGCACTATAAATTTCCAGGCTGCCGAGTTGCCGTGGCACTGCGAAGCGCTCCCGCGTACAGTACAGTATTTCTGCCATCTTTGTTTGCATTGCAGTGAGTCATCAAAAGTCTGTCTTGCACCAACACCCGGAGCCGCGCATTCCTCTGGCACCAACGCGCCACTGTTTTTAAAGCCGGGGCTGGGAGCTGGCATTTACTTCAGCTCCCAAATCAAAGGCGGCTATTCATTCCCAGAGCTGCCTGAGTGTTCGTCCGCATCCGGCCGCCTCATTGAGATGCCGCGCGCTGCCCGGGAGAGCCGGCCTGGGTGCAGCTGAGCTGCGGCCGCGAGCCGGGCACCCACCTCCCCCCAGCTCTCGCGCCCTCCCCACCCCAGGGCTCCGGCTCCGTTTGCTGCATTCCGGGAACGGCTGGCGGGCGGGCGTGTGGGGAGCCTGCCCGGCCAGACTGAGTGGCCGCAGCGGCTGAAGGTAGGTCCTCCCTCCCTACCCTCGCGGCCAGCACTGCCCACGGGCCGGGCCAGCAACTTGTCCGCAGCGGGGGCACTGCGGGCCTCCCCAGCGTGATGCCCACCTGCCCGACTCCCGCGCGTGGCTCCGCCTTCCTCCCCCCGGCCCGCTGGCGCCTCTGCGGCCACCCGCACTTTCCTCCGGCGGGACACAGCGGCCCTTTGTGCGGCCCCTGCGGAGTTGGGCCAGCGCCTTCTCCGGCCGGCCCCCGCCCCCTTCGCACAGTCGCCTGATAAACAGTGGCCGCCTGCTCCACCTCCTGGCGCATGGGGCGCCCTCCTGAGACCCCTCAGTTACCTGGGCTGGGACCGGGCCAGCAGGGGTTGGCCGGGAGGGGGGCAGGCGCCCACGGGGCTGCGACAGGCTCCAACTCCGGCTCCTGCCAGCGCATCCTGCCGGCCGCTTCCTGGGGACCCGGGTTGGGGTCGCTCCTGCTGGGGACCCTGGAGTGGCCAGGGGTAGAGCGCATTGGAGCCTCTGTGCCGTGGTGCAGGAGTGGAGGGGTGGCAGGGGGTCCCTGCAACCTCAGCCTGTCTCCGGCCCCCGGCCCCTCCTCCCTGCCCAGGGGGGCCAAGGCTGGGCAGGGAGGGGCAGCGCCCCAAGGTCCTGAGCAGGGAGGCACACTGGAAACCCAACACCTCCAGAGGACCAGGAAGAGCCCCTGGGGGGCGTCCTACAACGGGGCTGTTGGGCAGCCTTGAACTTTTTCCCTTTTCCCTGGGAGAGGAGTTGCTACGACTCTCCCGGCCGAAACCCTGGCCTCTGCCCAGGTCACTTAAGCTGCCCTCCAAGTCCCTTCTTGTGCCCCCACAGGCCCAGGCCTCTGCCTCGTGTCTTCTGCAGAGCGGGGGTCTTTCGGAGCAGCTCAGGTGGCGAGGGATCCTCTCCAGCTGGTCCCCCAACCTGGGTCTGAGGTGAAACTCTGGGGGCCCCTCTGGGGGGCTCCACCAGGGAGGAGGACGCACCTTCCTCTGCCCATCTCAGGGGTGGGGGTGGTCTGGGCCCGAGGTGGGCGAAGGGGGGCTGGGACTGACCACCCTGTTTCCCCGCAGATGTGCCCCGCCCGGGCCGCCCCGCGCCGCGTCTAGCCCGCCCGCCAAGCTGCCCGCCATGTCTCAGATGCTGCACATTGAGATCCCCAACTTCGGGAACACCGTGCTGGGCTGCCTGAACGAGCAGCGGCTGCTGGGCCTCTACTGCGATGTGTCCATCGTGGTCAAGGGCCAGGCCTTCAAGGCGCACCGGGCCGTGCTGGCCGCCAGCAGCCTGTACTTCCGTGACCTGTTCAGCGGCAACAGCAAGAGTGCATTTGAGCTGCCGGGCACGGTGCCGCCCGCCTGCTTCCAGCAGATCCTGTCCTTCTGCTACACGGGCAAACTCACCATGGCGGCCAGCGAGCAGCTCGTGGTCATGTACACGGCAGGCTTCCTCCAGATTCAGCACATCGTGGAGCGCGGCACCGACCTCATGTTCAAGGTGAGCTCGCCCCACTGCGACTCACAGACGGCCGTCATCGAGGACGCCAGCTCTGAGCCCCAGAGCCCCTGCAACCAGCTGCAGCCGGCCTCCGCCGCCGCCGCCCCCTACGTCGTGTCCCCTTCCGTGCCCATCCCACTGCTGACCCGCGTGAAGCATGAAGCCATGGAGCTGCCGCCAGCCACCGGCCCAGGGCTGGCTTCTAAGCGCCCACTCGAGACAGGACCCCGGGACGGCGTGGCCGTGGCTGCTGGGGCCGCGGTGGCTGCCAGTGCAGCCCCGCTCAAGCTGCCCCGTGTCTCCTACTACGGGGTGCCCAGCCTGGCCACCCTCATCCCCGGCATCCAGCAGGTGCCCTACTCCCAGGGGGAGCGGACCAGTCCAGGGGCCAGCAGCCTGCCTGCCACCGACAGCCCCACGTCCTACCACAACGAGGAGGATGAGGAGGATGACGAGGCCTATGACACCATGGTGGAGGAGCAGTACGGCCAGATGTACATCAAGGCCACAGGCAGCTATGCAGGTAATGCGCCAGCCCGTGGCGGACACAGGGGCAGGGGTCCCCAGAGCGAGTGGGAGGAGTCCTGTTGTGGAGGAGCTAGGATGTGGTGTGTATGTAAGGCTGATCTCCAGCCTCTGCCAGCCACAGGCAAGTGTGCCAGGGAGCCCTGTCTGACGCTGGGCAGATGAGGATTCGGAGGATCTCAGTGGTCCTTAGGCTTGTGGATCGTCCGCTGGCTGCTCAAGGCCACAGTGCTCCTGTGTGTGAAGTGCCTGGGATACTGCATGTCCCGCCTCCCGCCCCGCCGCCAACCTTAGACGCCTGGTCCCATGCTAGTCCTACCTCCGGTGTCTTCCTGGGGCAAGACTCCCCTCTGCCTGTGTAGCCACCTCCCTGGGCCTGGCAGAGGGTGGGCAGGGGTGCTGGGCGCTGAGCTTTCCCCCGGTTCTGCTGTGCTAAAGAGGGTACACCCCTTTGGAACCTGGAAGCCCGAGGTGCCCTAGTTTGAGACGCTCCCCTGGGGAATGTTAAGGTTCATGGTGCTCTCCATTCCTTGGCCTCACTGGTCTGGGGTCACTGAGGTGCAGTGTGGGGTGCCCCTCACTTGTTTGCACTTCCTCACAGGGCGCCCTGCCCTGCTGGGGCAGCAGGGGCTCCACCGAGCCCGGGCCTTGGCACAGCCAGGCACCTCTAGAGCACCGTGGCCGCAGACTGGATGGCAGGGTCTCAGCATCTACCTGGGCACCCCGCACCTGCTCAGCCTGAGGAGAAGCCACCAGGCCTGCCCTGAGCTCCTGGCTGGCTTCACCACAGTATTCAAGAGGATGTTCCGTCTTGTGTGGATTCTGTAGCGTGGAGGCTGTGGCCTCAGGGCTGGGCTGAGGCGTTGTCTTCCTGTGCCAGGGGCCAGGGCTGGCATCTTCGTGAGTCGGCCTTGATGTGCTGGACACACTCTGGGGACTCTGCTCAGCGTGCGGTTTCCTCATCCCATGGACCCTGCGGGGGAGGAGGAAGGGCCAAGACCCTTCCTCCCAAGACCCCGACATTTGGAGTCCGTAGGTTGCAGACCCTGGCTGCCGGACGTCCTGCAATCTCCAGGGATGCTGCCCTGCATGGTGGCTGTGGGTGACCGTGGGCACAGCTGAGGCCGGACCGAGGGCTGGGCAGTCACCTGCTGGGGTCAGCCCCGTCCTGGGGCAGGGTGGGCACTTCCAGAGTGAGGGAGTTGGTGGCTTGTGCGGTGCCCCGTCCTCAGTTCCTGGTGAGCCTTGGCAGGTTTTCGGAGGAGCCGGTGGCTCAGTCTTGCACAGTGCACGTGCAGGGTGGGCGTCGGGGACCTGGGGCCCCGCACCGTCCCACACACGGCACCGGCCGCCGGCTCTCCTCGCCCAGCCCTTCTCCTCGCCAAGCCATAAGTGGGGCAGAGCGGGGTGTGAGATTTCTTGGTTCATATCTGGGTTATTGGCAGTGACGTCGCTGGCATCTCTGAGTGTGCTGGGGGAGGGAGGCCCCAGCCTGGCTCCTGCACCCGGCTCCCCTCCTGGGGACATCCCCACCCCAGCCTGCTGGCAGCTGGGCGGGACGCTGTCCGTCTCTGAGCTCTGGGACATGGGGAGCCCCCTGCTGCCCTCGTGAGAGATGTCCACTCCGTCCTGCCTGTTTCCCACCTGTGAGCTGAGAGGTTGTTGAGCCGGACCCCGTCATCTCAGCCAGTGCCCACGGTACCCCGGGCGAAGTGATCCCAAGGCAACCATGCTGCCGCCAGCTGCTTGCTGGGCACCAAAGGCAGCGTGTCCAGGGCACTGAGAGGACCCACGTTGCGCAGGGGTAGTTGAGGGCCTTGGCACGCCTTCCGGGCTTCTGCGGCTCCATCTCTGTCACCTTTGCCCTGATCCTGCCTCGGCCGCTGCCCCAAGGAGGCTCCCTGGGGCCCCCCAACCCCCACTGCTCGGGCCTCGCTGTCCCAGCCCGCCTGGCCCTGCCCGGTCCTGCTCGCGCGGGGCGTCATCCTTTGAGCAGGATGGGCTTGGCGGGGTCTTGGGTGCAGAGTGCAGGGACAGCGTTGTGAGCATCAGCCACGAAGGCGTCCAGCAGCTCCAGGGCTGCTGCAGGTGAGAGCTTCCCGGAGTGAAGCATACACGTGAGCACACATGTCGCACACGTGCACACACGCACACACATTGGGACATGGTGTCCCAAGCTTGAATATAGATCTGCCTGCAGCCCCACTGGTGGGCCGAGTGGGGACCAGTACACAATCGCAGGGGCCGATGCCAGGCAGGGGCAGTGAGGTCCCAGGCGTCCCTCCGCTGTCTGGCCTTGTTCCTGGGGTTGTGGCCAGAGCCGGCTCCCTCCGGAGGGGGCAGTGTTGGGTCTGGGCGTGGCCCCCTAGGGCCAGGCGGGACACAGGACCTGCTCTCCAGGCCTCTGCCTGTGCCTGGCTCTGTGGGCCCACCTGGCCCTGCAGGCCCCTTACTGTGCTGGCTGGGACCCGCCCTGCCCCGTGCCCATCCAGGGCAGAGGGCACACAGGGTGCCGAGCAGTTATGGAATCCTGGGTGGCTGGGACCCCAGCCCCTGTGGTGGGGCAGGTGAGTGGGGAGAGGTCTTGTCCTCTGCGGGGGAGCTACGACACTCCCAGAACCCTGCCCCTCACAGGCCCTTGCCCTGCAGCCTGCTCTCCAGGGTCCGAGACAAACCCAGGCCTCCAGGTCCATGCCAGCCATACCCCTGGTCCCTTCCCAGGAGGGGCGGTGCCCTCTCCAGTCCTGCTTCTGTCCCTGGGGCCACCTGCTCCTGGTTCTCCACTGTCCCATGTACAGCCCCCTTCAGGTGTCCTGCGAGCTCAGCGTCCAGCTTTGGGCTGGCCTGACTTAGGGGAAGCCCCCGTGAGGATTTCGTGTGTGGCCTCAGCCCGCTGTCCAAATCTGGACGCTGGAAAGGCACTGTTTGGAGTGCGGTCCCGGCCCACAGTGGCCGATGTCCCGGCCCTGCCCTCTGAGCCAATGCTGCCATGACCCCAGGGTCCCAGAGGGAGACAGTGGCCAGTCCTGCCTGGGCCGGCCTTTCCAGTGACACGTGTGCAGTAACCTGAGCATGGTCCCTTCCCGCAGATGAGCAGAGTGTGCAGCGTGGCCAGCAGGGCTGGGTGGTCTTGCTGGCAGCCACCCAGGTCCCGGCCCAGAACGGCCCTGTCCGGGAGGGCCCCGCTGTCCAGTGGGCAGGGACATCCTTGGAGGCCACTCGTGGCAGCAGTCAGAGCTCAGGGCTGCCCTTGGGATTCCCGAGAGAAGAAGAGGGGCTGTGCGCGGGGAGCTGGGTGTGCAGTACTCCCTGCCGCCACTGCCTCTCGGCCTGGGCGTGGATGGTCCACACACGGGGCCCACAAGGAGCCCCGAGCCCAGGTGGGTGTAGCTGCAGGGTGGCGGCTCCCCCTTCCACCCGGCAACACCCTGCGTCACTGCCGGCTGAGTGGACGAGGCACCAGTCACGCGCCTGTCCCACAGCACTGCATGGCTGCCCCAAGGGTGCCTCAACCCTGGCTGTGGCCACTGCGGTTGGCCCTGGGGTCACCTGCCAGCCCTGCCCCTCCCCAGCTTCCGAGCAGCTCCCTGTGTGCCCAGCGCTGTGCACCTGATGCCCCTTCTGCCCAAACTTGTGTTGGGATCAGATGACCTGCGGCACAGGTGCCATCCGAGGATTGGGGCAGCACCGTTATCCGCAGGAGCATTTCCCGGCCCACAGGTCACCAGCCCTGACGTGGATGGGAAGACATGGGTGCCCATCTGTGTGCCAGCGTCGCTGCCCTCCTCCTCCTCTGCTCGCCTGGGTGCCTGTCCTCAGCACCAATGCCACGAGAAGGGCACAGCCTGGCGAGCTGTGGGCAGTCAGGGTGGCGTTGCGGCGGAGTGGGGGTCGGGAGCTCCCCGGAGTGTCCCCTGCCCTGTCCTCCCTTCCGCCTCGCCTTGTGTAGCATCGTGGTGAGTGGGGCCATTTCACACGGACTCTGTCTCCCCGTGGTTGGCTTCGTCCACGTCTGCGGGCGATGTCTGCTGTGCTTCCTGCTCACGCTGCGCGCTCCTCCGTGCGGACAGACAGACAGACACTGGCTGCTTCCCGGCCTGGCTGTCACAGAGCTGCAGGGCGGGGGGCCCTGCCCTGGCGTCAGGACTGGAGCAGCTGGGTCCGCTGGTGCTTTTTACCTCCTGTCTGCCATGCGTCCTTCAGGGAGGTAGGACAGCTCTGCGCACCCACCGGGTGCCCCTGCCGCACTGTGGTAACCTGCCGCCCGCCCGGTCGGCTCCTCTGGGGGGCAGGGTGGGCGATACCAAGGGGGGGTTCTGCGTCATTTCCTGGTGCTTGTCTGTGGATGGTCTTTTCCTGCGTTAATAACCGTAGTGTGATGTTTTCTTCAAATATTCTATTTTGTTTCTTTTTTTTTTTTTTTTTTTTTAAGACAGGGTCTCCCTGTGTAGTACAAGCTGGCCTTAATCTCACTATGTAGCCCAGGCTGCCTTTGAGCTTGTGGTGCTCCTCCTGCCTCAGCCTCCTGAGTGCTGGGATTATAGACATGCACCACCATGTCCAGCTCTTCAAATATTCTTGCCCAGTTTTTGTTTCTTTTTGAAGAGTTTGAGTTCTCTAGTTTGTAAACAAGTCCTTCATCAAATGCTTTCTCCCGGGCTGACCTGGTTTTTATGATCTTGGTGGTGTCTTTCAAAGACCAGAGGTTTCTAATCTGGATGGAGAACAGTTCGTTGGTGTTTCGTTTCACAGCCAGTGTTCTTGTGGCCGGGTGCAGAGGCCCTGTGTTGCTCCCCACACAGGGCTGTGCACACATGCGTGTGTCCGCATGCGTGTGCGCCTCGAGTGCATGTTCTGGTAGCCGTGTGGCCCTCTCTTAGGTTTTGGCCAGTGGTCCGCGCTGAGTCCGTTTCTGTGTGCCGTGGGTGACAAGGCCTGTTAGCTTCCCCTGGGCGTCTGTCATACTGCAGGTCGCTCCAGAAACGCGTCTTTGGCAAG